GCAACTTCCCATCAGCCCATACAGATGACCTTCAAACCAGAGGGGACGTTGAAGGATGATGGAGAATCATTTCTCCATTACTCTCCACATCAGGTTAACTGTGTTATGACAAAGCATTGGTATGAGTCACACCTATGACTTGCCCACGAAATGATGAACGCAACCTTAGATTTAACCTGATTGTAAGCAGTGACGTTAGGGTAACTTGAGTAATGTCCCTGCATGACGGGCACAAGCTCATCACATTGAGCTAATATGATACCACCAAAGACAGTATCATCAGGGTCAGTCACTGCTAATGGCCCCCTAAAATAAACTGGTATTTCATGAGGTAAGAGTAACAATGAATTTTCAGACCAAGTAAGCAAAAGAGTTATTACAGTTAATAACATCTAGAAATTAAGACGTTCTGAATTAAAAGAAGACCATTTTTGGATACTTCTTTGTTGTAGATGTAGAAACAACCTAACCAACCTCATCCTAATACATTGAGACTGTATTCCTCAACAGATTACCTCCACACAGAGGTTAGATTTAGTTGATTTTTTCTCATAGGAGTGATGCTAACCTACTTACTACCAATAATATGTGACACAAGCTTTTAAAAATAGTACAGAAAAAACAATATGGCCACTTTCTTGCAGTGTTACTTCACTTTTTGGGCATTAATTCGCTTCTTTGTAAGCCACTGCAATTATGTACATTAGGGGGCTATAGAAAGACAGATATTTAAATAAAAACAATCAAAGATGTGTAACAAGATAACTGTTTTAAATGAAGGGAATGTGGCTTGACAAAATGTGCTACTGACTGCCCACAAAACCAACTTTAAAGCAGTCACATATCAAACTAGGGACAATTTGACAGCATACAACACCCATATTTCTTAAGCACTCTTGTTGAGAGTTGGGAACTAAGGGAATCAAATCCTATTTCTAAGGGTATTAATCTATCAATGGCTAAACCCAGCTGTCTCTGGGACATGTCCACACTGCTGTTTAGGAGTTAGCTATAATGTGTTGCTTCCTGTGTGCAGAGATTTACACAAGAAACACATACCGACAGTATTTATGGCAAGCAGGGCCTGTCTACAGTAAAGAGTGTAATTTTAGACATTTTGCCTGAAGTAGATTCCATAAAATTACCTCCTCTATTCCTATTTCAATGTATGTTCGCTGATGCTTTGCAGGTTTTCTCACACTTAACTTGAGTGTGTCCCAGGTTAGCCAGAGAGGGGAAACAAATGCTGAAGTGTTTGGAAGGGGAAAAAAACGAAGCAGACGTCAGTCATTCTGGTATAAGACACAGGAAGTCTGCTAACCACAGACGTTGCAAGATACGAGGTGTTTCCGGTGTGTATCGACACTCGATTGCTTCAAAACAGACGAGAGGATGGTGCTTCACGCTCTGCACGTTTCCAAAAGCATGTTCAAGATAAATCTAGGTCGTCACACAGCAACAAAGGAAACCGTAAAAATGAATTGCGTTTTAAAAGCTCAGTCTACTCTATATTCACATTGCTTGTCAAAAATACCAATGTTTTAGACCCGTATCACATTTGGATAAGAGCTGGGCAATACATACATATAAAGCACTAGATATCATCTTATATTTGTAATATTGTAATATTATTAGTTTTGTCTTAACCTAGTTTTATAAGGCTATATTACAGAGAAGTGATATCATTTTCTAAATTAACCAGACTTGAAGCTTGACAAAAATAATGTAAGATGTATGTTGGATCACTAAGACAGCCTTTTGCTGAATTTATTAAAGGGTTGCGCAGACTGAACTATCCTGTGCAGATGTCTGACCCTGCATCATGTTCAATTAATGACCCTTGGTTTGAGTGGGGTGGTCTGGTGTAAAATCCCTTCGAGCCGGTTCCCCCTTGGAGGTAAATGAGGTGATGGGTTCATCCATCTCTCTGGGTTTGACCAATGAGAGAGACAGAAACCCAGCAAGGCATCGGATGACTTAATGAAGTGACTTTATCTGTGTGCATGTGTCTGCTACTGTGCAATGTGCATGTGTGTGTGTGTGTGTGTGTGTGTGTGTGTGTGTGTGTGGTGTGCGTGTGCGTGTGTGTGTGTGTGTGTGTGTGTGTGTGTGTGTGTGTGTGTGTGTGTGTGTGTGTGTGTGTGTGTGTGTGTGGTATCAGTCTGAGTCACGAGTGAATCCCAACGGTCTGTCATGGCAGTGAGAGAATGCACATGATCTTTTGTCTCCTGCCTTGCTGTAAGAGGAGTCAGGTTTCTGGATCAATAAGAATCAATTGCAACCCGAGTTGCTGGAGTAATAAAAAAAATATATAATCTAATCGGCAGTTTTTTCTATTTTGACTCAAAAAAAGAAAGAAAAATACACCCAATGGACCGACTCATTGGTGTAATTTGTAGATAGAAGCTGCACAAGATACATGACATGCTACATGTTCTCCCTAACCCCTGCACCATTTGTAGGACTCTTTTTAATTCATAGCTGCAGGAACTTCCATTCACTGCAGACGGAGCCATTAAGAGAGAGAGGGACTCCAGACACTGGTGCACACTGGTGGTAATGGATTACTGATGTTATTATGGTTCAATAAGGCCTCTAAACAACATCCTCTGATCCACTGCAAGAAAAACAGTTCTCAATGAGTGTGTGTGTGAAAGATACACATGTGTAGCCAGTGTAACCCCCAACCATTTCAATTATTTCATCACAAATGGGCCAAACCTTATGATACCACTCGCTCGTTTTATGTTATTTTGCCTCCGTAACCCGTTTTCTAACCTGTTGGTTTATAAACTAGAAGGAATGTCTTTAAGTGAGCACATGATCAATCAATCAATCGATAGCAATCAAACATCACTTCTCAAAGCACATAAGCAACAAGCATATCTTCATCACCACAGCAGCAGACGCATCACATGAACTTGAAAGTGGAAAGCCTCCAAAAGAAAAAATTATCATCGATGATTTTAATGAGATATAACTTAACATGATAACAATAATCACAACATCTATTCAAGGGATGAAAGTTGTGGGTACTATTTTGAAAGTCACATATTTTACTACAAGGCTATTTCAGTCTTTGGGGATTACAATTTGGAAAATCCTTATTTTATTCCTCTCTTCGCTGTATAAATGTGTGGGTTAGGGCATTTAGCAACTATTTTCTCAATCAAAGTTATTAGCCACTAATATTCTGACTCAAATCTGACATAAGCCTAAAAATGGCGACCAAACCTGTCAGGTTTAAATGTCAAACTTAAGGGCCTTTTCCTCCATTTGTTACCCAGTCCGTTGTTGTTCCCAGCATGCATCTGTTTATTTCACAGTTAGCCCCCTTCCTATTTGCCACCCACAGTGCCGGTAGACAGCAGTGTGTGCACTGTGTGTGGCAGCCACAAATATACCCACTTTTCCCAGCACTGCCTCCGTCTAAACAACAGGTGTACCAGTTACTCACACACTCATTGACCCCACACAAACACACACACGTACGCCACACATATCAACAGATACAAAAAAAACCTGAAAGGTTGGAAAACAACGCAAGGATGGAGCTTTTTGTAATTTGTCCTACCTGGTTGTTGACATAATCCTGAACACATAAGCAGAAACGTGAAAAAGGAAGAGAAAAAAACAGTCATACTGAGAAGTATGCAAACTGTCTGTGGGTAGTGAAAGTACAATGTGGTAAGACTAGCAAATCCTATTATTCTAGTCTTTATTCTTATTTAATAAAAGGAAAGTGGGCCTGTCTCCATTCAGTCACTTAACAATGACCAGTGTACAATACATGTCATGGAACAGTGATCTCTTTTAAGGGATGTTCTCCTACTACCAAATATGTCTTTAGTTCATCCTGCCCTCAAATCTTGCTTAAATTAAATGAAGGACTAATATAATTATCCTTTCTTTTTTTGAGGACATTCACAGTCTCCCACTTGTTTTTGTCCTTCTTTGTGCAGTACAAGCACACCAGAGCAGTTAGCTTTAACACAAAAAAGCAGTTACATAAAACTGGGGCAGGATTGGGCTATGCTGAAGGCAAAACATGTTATTTTAAACAGTGGAATAATGACTGAGAAGCTACAGACCCACATAGAGTAGGGTCGGCAAAGGACACTTACAGCTATGAGATGGGAAAAGTGTGTGTGTGTTCATATGATGCGTGTGGGTGCATGCGCGTGTGTAAGCAAACTGAAGTGTGTGTGCGCCTTTGTGAATGTGTGTCGCAAAGCGTGGTTGCTAGTGATTAGTCAAAACTGTAACTGACACACGGCTGGCTCCAGTGATTCCATCAAATGGAGGGAAACCACACACACACACACACACACACACACACACACACACACACACACACACACACACACACACACACACACACACACACACACACACACACACACACACACACACACACACACACACACACACACACACACACACACACACACACACACACACACACACACACACACACACACACACACACACACACACACACACACACACACACACACACACACACACACACACACACACACACACACACACACACCTTGGAAATAACTTATTATATTATATTGACAAGAATGTTTTGTACCACTGGGAAATAGAAAAAATACCAAAATTGATTTTACATTTTCAAAATGTTCAATTTTATAACAGAAAACGCAGAACTTGATCAGACAAAATAGATATTTGCATGTGTTGACCACGCTCTGGTAGTAAGCACTAGCAAGAGTAGCAGGAGGACACTTCCCAACCGGTTTCATCTGCTAAGAATGAAAGCACTAATGAGTAAAGATGTCAGCAGGGATCTGGAAAACTGACTTTTGGACATCATCAAATTCTACTAATAATGTCAATGAAGACACAACTAATAAAATATATCCAGTTATGAATGCCCAGATTGTGTCAAGTGACATAAACTCTGTAAAAGTAACAAGCATTGGCATTAAACCCTCATTGTACAGTGCTACTTGTTTTGGCGTCACTCTTACCGTGTTGTAGCCGGAGGGTTCTTGGCCGTCTGTGATGACTTCTCGTTCCCCCCTGGGGTTTACCCTCCTAAAGCGCCGTCTGGATCTCCGTTGGGATCCTTCTCTTTGCAGAAAACCGTCGTCCCCCTCGCTGCCGTTATCCACCTGCAATACACAGTCAACAGCCTCCTCAGAACAGTAGCTTCTACGGGATTCGCACCCACAACCTTCATGAGCGTGGAGACACCTGGAGGACTGATCCTCACAGTTTGAGACCTGAGAGCACGGCTCAGAGATCCTTCTTTTGAATTGATCAGGCTTTGGGTTCTTAAGAATGGAGTTTTGCTTTTTGAATTCCAATGTCTGGTTCTCGATTTCTGATTTCTGTTTGTTATAATCCAAGTTTTGTGTTTTAGAATCCGTTAAGTCTTGAAAAGAGATGTGATCCTTGTAGTTGTTCCCTTCCTTTGCCCCTGGCTCTGCTTCATTCCCTGAAACTTCTGAGATCTGGCCCTGCTCTTCTGCTGGCTCCTGGTTGAACATCCAGTTCTTCCAGAGCGCAGAGAGCCGGTGCCAGCGGAACACACTCATCCGGACGCAAGCACGGTATCAGAATAACACATAAAAGCAGGAAATACCACAGGAGGGGAGAAACTAAAAACAGCAAGGGAACACTACGAGACAAAAGATGAATAGAAGGGTTGCGTCCAAATAAATTAAAAAAAAGGTCTAAAATCCTGAGGGATCCTGTGACACTAAATCCTTTGAGGCTAGCATCCACAAAGAAAGGGAAAAACCAAGTGGATGAACTTCAGCGAGAGTTGTCTTCTTCTGAGAGCCGGAGAGTTCAAGACGGAGTTCAGCTGCTCAACACGTTGCATACTGACAGACTTACTCACATGTTTGCCCTTCCTCCCTCTCTCTCTCTCTCTCTCTCTCTGAGACACGCGCACAGAGATACACTGAGCCCACAGTTTCCTTCAGGAAACCGTAAATACATAAATATCCTCCCAGGCAGAAAAAGAACAGCACATAACACAGATTCCGGCCATACAATTCATTCCCCATAGGCTCTTTGTGCTGGTCTGTTGTTGCGCTAGGAATGTTTACTCTCTCCATTGCATAATGTTAAGAGAGTCAATAGCCTTATTATGTACATAATGACTAAGTGTTTTAGGAAATTCTAAATATGCTACCCAACCTTGTGATGATTTATATATCGCTGTAACTTGGCTTTTATATATTTAAGGGTTTTCTCTTTCTTACATCTGAATGCATTATAATTGAATGTTTAAATAATAGTTTTGTGCTTGATTGAGCAAAAAAACTTGATATCCAAACTTTCAAGTTATGCCTTTTTCTTTAATGTTGTTTTCTTTTAAAAAAACATCTGTGTTTTTTTCTCACTGACACCGCAACAATGAATCTCAACAGATGCTGAAATATATGTCGCCTAGTCTCACATTCCTCTACCTTGTCAAAACCTGGTGCCCCATAATGCAGCTCATATTCAGGTGTGTTATGCTAGCAGTGGCTAATGTTGCCTGCAACCCTCTCACTTCTTTCTAACTCCACATTTTCAAGTCAAGTTGTTAGCCCTAACCAGCATAGCCTCAAGTCGCATGACTTTAATTACATCTGTTGATTTATTTCAACATATTTTCTTTGTTGGTTGTACTTGTGTCCATTAACAGATGCAGCATTCTGTTGCTATTATATCCGAGACCACACTGTGTAAATAGTGTACAAAGTTACCCACGTGTCAGCCTAAAGTCACCTCTTCTCGCTTAACACTTTGCGGCCTTCCCACAATATTGATTTGATAATTCAGCGCCTTTTAACAAGTGTGCTCTATGTTTCTGTTTGTTGTTCAGCCTTTCAGTTTGTCAAGCTTTCTGGCAGTATGCTGACACTATGAGAGGCCAAGAGAGAAAGAAACAAATGGGGTCCATGTGGTGGTGTTTGAATATTTGTACCCTCTTTCAGTCTCTGTCAGTTACTTATCTTCACTTTCCAGGTCTTTAATCATTATCATTACATGTCACTTGTTAGACGCTTTTATCCAAAGCGACTTACATACTCAATACTGTGGGCAATCCCCACAGGAGCAATTTGGGGTGAAGTGTCTTGCCCAGGGACACAACGACATGCTGACTGCAGTGGGGTTTGAACCTGTGACCCCCTGATCCGAACAGCAACGCTCAACCCACTGCACCACACGCCTTATCTCTATCATTTTACTTCCCTCTTACTACCACACTCTGCATTTGCAACCGTGTCACGTAATGTGCTTTGAGCTATACTTGCTAGTTGCTAAAAGCTACATTGCAATAATTAGCACTCCAAGTGTTCATGCATTTATTCATGTACTGCCTGTGAATAATTAGTATCAGAAATAAATTGAGTGGATCTATTTCACAATCCTGCATTGTTCTCACAACTGATAAAGTTTCATCATCCATGAAAAGTTGTGAGCAGAAGTAACTACTGTGTGCATATGATGAGATGATGGTAAAAGCTGAAAATGTATGCTGTCTATCTTCCTGTTTTCCTACATGAAACACCTATGACACCTAAAAAAATGTGTCGTTCTATCTCTTAAAGGCAACCTTCACAGAGCTGTTTGATTGAACAAAATCTTGCACATCGATTAGAAAGCGGCTTAAACGTAAAACACGAGACAGGGGATGGACTGAAAGATTTTCTGTCACTGTTGAAATGGGACTCAATAGCTGCCATGGGTTGATACCTTATACAGTCTATGGTTGATACAGACAGAGAAACAAGCATGTGTGAGGAAGGTCTGCTGTGTCAACAGAATCATTACTGCATTGTGGGTAGTTTAGCTGGAATGGACTCTGAAACAGATGCATAAAGGGTAGTTCAGTACAGTTGTAAAAGGAACGTCTTGGTATTGTTGTGTCCCTTTTGAAGGCAAACAAATTCTCTTTTTAAGAACCCTCACGAAACAGGCAGCCTGAAGTTAATTGACAGGAAATTCTGGAGGGCAAAGTAAAACATTTACCAGACTTCTATGTCTATCCTGTCACTATATAGCCATCTTTTTTTTCTCTCACTATGTACTGTATGTGCCTCTCTGGCGTCTTGACTGAATAGAAACCCCATTTACCCCGTGACCACCACAGTACTTTCAGCCATTGAGGAGCCTTGCCTCTATGATTCTGACTGACTGTCACAGCCATAATGTGTCCATATTTCCTGTTTCCTGTGTCCATTTCAATGTGTTTGTGTGACTAACTTCCCATCTACTCATCAGTCAGTTTACATTCCTCTCATCTATCTGATGGTTTGCGTTCCTTTGTGCATCACCCTCTTTGGCACACACACACACACACACACACACACACACACACACACACACACACACACACACACACACACACACACACACACACACACACACACACACACACACACACACACACACACACACACACACACACACACACACACACACACACACACACACACACACACACACACACACACACACACACACACACACACACACACACACACACACACACACACACACACACACACACACACACACACACACACACACACAGTATGTGAATGTCACCCCTGTCCATCCTGTGACCAGAGTCATGACGATAGCCACAGATTACACTGCCTATACTATTCCCATGGCCCTAATTAGCTGATTGACTGCAATGCGGTGTGACTAGACACACAGTCCCTCTGCTCTTGTGTGTTTATGCATTCATCTGAAACAGTGTGTGAGCGTGTGTGTGTAAATGTGTGTGTGCAAGCAAGTACATGTTTTCTGTTTTCTCAATATATTTTATCATCTTTTTATGTCCTAATAAAACATCCGCCATTCATCCAGTGCCATGGTGTGTTCTTTTTTGATTCGATCGAAGATGTGCTTCTGTTTTTTGTCAGTATAACTTTTACAATTCAGGCTGACCACCCAGATTTTCTCCTGTTTATTCCACACAAGCCGCTGCTGCCTGCAACCTTAAACGCATCAGCTACTGTGCGTCAGAAGGATTTTCTCTGGGAAGATTCAACTGGCAGCAGAATCCAGAACCTTTATTCACTGTATTTATGTTTGGCAATTACTTTTCACATCTGTCATGAATGGGATTTCATTTTATTTTGTGTTGCGGATTGATACCCAATAATGTTCTACTTGCATCAACCCCTCATATAGTCACAAGCAGCACATAGTGTATGAATATCCTAGGTGAAATCATGTTTTAGCTTTGAAAAAAGAAAAACATGAGCATGTGAATCTGTTGACCCGAGATTGGCATGACAAGACATACGAAGTCCAGCCTGCTTTTAAAGCCAGAAACTGTTGAGAAATACATATATGAGAGATTTGTCTTGGGAAACTGGCAAACATCTTTTGCCCAGCTTTGTGTATAGCACAAATCTGTCTAAATGTAGATGAGGTAGTCAAAAGCCAATTTTAAAGACTTGTATTTTCAGCGATGCAAACTCATCAGGTATGAAAAAGGTGACAAGGATCCGAGCCCCCCGACCCCACGGAATATCGGTTTTAAAATGAGGAATAACAGAGGATTTTAGCAGTCAGAACAACTAAAGCAGTTAATAATAACAGAAACGCCAAAGAGTCACATATAATAGAAATATATAAAAGCATTTATTTTAATTGTGTAGCAGTCCGTTTATAATTTTGGCAGCACTGTTGAGCATTTTGAAAATGTATTTTCATGCCTCTGTGCAAGGCTTAGTCTTTCTATCTTTATAGCCACTGGTGTAAAGTAACTTCAGTAAGTTCATAAACTCAAGTACTATACTTGGGTACAATTTTGAGATACTTGTACTTTATTTAAGTATTTCAATGTTTTGCTACTTTGTTCTTCTTCTCCACTACAGTTCAGAGGTAAATGGTGTACTTTTACTCCACTACATGTATTTAATACCTTTAGTTACTTTACAGATGTGGATGAATGATGTGAAATATAATCAAGTGTTAACTCAGACTTCAGTTCCACCTGGAGTAAATTCACAAGCTACCCTGCAGTATACAAAGTCATTCAAACTAGCTGCACCTTTACCAGCTTTGAGAACACTTTCATGATCAATCATTATAAAACATATCATATATATTATTCTGAAATGGACCAATCTGCACAATGACTACTTTTACTGTCGCTACTTTAACTATATTTTGATGAGAATACTTTTCTACTTTTACTTGAGGAACATTTTGAATGCAGGACTTTTACTGTAACAGAGTATTCCTACACTCTGGTACTTCTACTTTTACTCAAGTACAAGACCCGAGTACTTCTACTTTTACTCAAGTACAAGATCTGAGTACTTCTACTTTTACTGTCGCTACTTTAACTATATTTTGATGATAATACTTTTGTACTTTTATTTGAGGAACATTTTGATTGCAGGATTGTTCCTACACTCTGGTACTTCTACTTTTACTCAAACCTGAGTACTTCTACTTTTACTCAAGTACAATATCTGAGTACTTCTACTTTTAATCAAGTACAAGATCTGAGTGCTTCTACTTTTACTCAAGTACAAGATCTGAGTACTTCTACTTTTACTCAAGTACAAGATCTATAATTATACCACCTCCGTTTATAGCCTATGAAAAAAACTATTAGAAAACGAAGGCTAAAGTTAGCAGATAGTGACAATGTATGCTAGTTAGCTAGCTCGACAACGATAATATAGCGACAGAAAAACTTTTCAGTGCACATCACGCTCTGCCGCTCCGACAGGGTGCACTGCTCTGAACACCTGAACGGCCCGTTCTAACAGCTGTTCACCAGCGGTCCAGTCTGTGCCACAGTGACTCCGGACCGCACAGTTAATATTAACGAACGCACCCGTAGATAATGTAGCTA